ATATCAACTTAGCGGCTAGGAGGTAGAAAAAGAAACATTCTCCACGACAAATAACTTTGATTTACAAGCTGTTTGTGGCGCAAATAACTCCCTTTTAACGGTGTATGTACCGGCGTGGCGGAAGCGCTTGCAATAAAGGCGGGATTTATGTCACGGGACGGATTTCGGAATCGCTAACAAGATTTACCTGATATGGAAGCTCTCAATATGGTGGCGGCAATTAAGGTAACAGGAAAACAATATCAAAAAATTTGATGATTAATATTCCAGATATTATATATATATATATATATATATATATATATATATATATATATAGGGCTCAGGTTAGAGACGGTGAACCGTTCCGATTCACGGGATTAATAATTTGAAGCGAACTTCTAGAAAGTTCTAGCGTCAGAGCTTCTTTTATATTGATAACAAAAGGGGCTTCATTACAAATATGTTAACATATATCGATATCTGTGTATCCACAGATATGGGTACATGTACTAAAAATAATCGTTTGTCCGTATGTAAATGTATCAAATGACATAATTTATCGTTTTCGAATGCGATTAATATAGCAGCTCATTATTTAGTGAATTATATACGAAAGTCGTTTTAAATACAGTGGTAATATAATATGATGTTGTTGGTATTGATGAATTCAATTGAATTTTCTCGAAAACGGAAAATCAATGTTCGTAGCGAATGTTTGGTCTCTTAACGTATTTAGAAACAAATGTATACAATCTGCTGTTCAGTCTCCAGGCATAAAAATGTGGAAAGAGTATATTTAAACCGCAATACACAACTAAATATATGCATTTATATACAAGAATACATTCTCTACACATCAATTAATCAGGCCTGAAGTTAGACAAACGGAGACTCTAGAGACGGAAATAAATAAATATTTTCAGGACATATTTTACACAACGTTATCTAGTTCCAAGCTAAGCAAAGCTTGTACTATGGATGCTACATAACTGGTAAACTGCTTTAATCATACATGTTGTGTGAATAAATAACCATTGTGGATATATAAACACCCAGACACTAGAAAAATATTATGTTCATCGCACAATATTTTTCCAGTCGGGATCGAACCAACAACCTTTTGGCGCAAGTTTGGCAATCGTTAAACAAAGCGAAGCATGCGATCTGTATACAAAAATACTAACATGGTTAACACCGGAGACTCGGGTCTTGTTCAATTTCGATAGGTTGGTGCCCATCCGTAGCCATCAATGGCAGTCCCACCCAGCGGCCGCTATTTGATAACACACATTTGCAACTCACAACCGGCGAACGTTTGATCAAATGTTTGGCACAAGTTCTACGGCCGCGTATAGTGCGATACCTCGTTCACTATCACAGTTTTGAGTTCTAACATTAATGAACACAGTCTGCTAACAGTCTTATTACTCTGTGGCGGTCGATTCGCGAAGCGCTGGAAAGGAAAGCGGAGATAAATAAAATTCGTCAACGACAAAGGCTTGAATAAAATAAAAAACCGAAAAACAAATTAAAAGTATTCAAAACAAATAGAAGGATGTAAAAAACATAAGTAAATTGTAGTGCAATCCAATTGCGTAATACGAGAATATTTGACGGGATGGGATGATGTAACACAATTATAATTTTCGCATTTGAAGCCTTGGAAGTTAGTGATTTAGTACTTGTTACGAAATCTTCCTAAAAAGGCCATAGCAGACGATCTCGTCCCATTCAGCTTTATAGTACCATCCGCCTACGCTTTGATAGAGACTATAGTGTACATCGCTTTCGTGTAACAAAATAACGTATTCATCCACTCCATACGTCTGTTTCTTGTCTCTCGTAGGTAAACATTAAAACTTGTACCTAAAAATGTCGCATATCGTTGATTAGTAAGCAATGGAGCTTTTTTTTCTTGTTATATCAAATTGAAAGACGATTTAAAAATATGTATTTATCAAGCACTACTTTTACTCAGTTATGCTTTGATAATAAGGAGTTGGTGACTGATATTATAAACAGTGAAACCAAGTTTAAAAACGATTGTACCTCCTTAAATAATAACGGAGCCTTAAGATACTAAACTGTTGCTGAAACAGTTACACGTAATTATATTAAAAAGTGGAGTCGTTTTTAATACTCGTTAGTAAAACACACCGACGAGGACTTCGCGTGATATAAGCAATAATAATATCGTTTGTGACGTCATTCAACCCAGAGTCAAAAGTATGATAAATGCTTTTGTGGTACAATTCACAAACACTATTCAAAATCCACATATATTTAGAGAAAATTAATATAATAGAATAGCAAAAGAATTCAATTGAAATTAATAAATTAAACTGTTATTATAGAATGATTTAATAAAGTTATCTTTAAATTCTATTGCATATTGTTACTAACTTATCGTTTTGAATTCGCTTTTCATAGTTTGATAAATAAAAATTCAATTATTTTTACGCGCTTTTCTTTACACGCTACTCTTTCTTTCTGTAGCCAGAGCTTAAGCGTGGGGGAACTTGATAGTGAATCAAAAGGACCGTATCAATGGATGCATTTGACTTTCAAATGCCACCTACAAATCAAATTTTTTTTAAAGTAATTAAATTGTCCGATTCTGTTTTCTAAATCTAAATTGCTAAATTTATCAGTAATGGACGTGATTTATTACGAGCAACATCCCAGCACAGCATTATTCGGACCAAACGTCGTTTTGCCTGCGGTATTCAACTGTTTTTTGATGGAAAAGAACTTTGTCACGGCATAAAACCTAGCATCATTTACTATGATAGGGCTACGCAACAGTCTTCTTTTGCAAAAAAAGGGCAGGTCCGTCCGAAGAAGTACCAAGACCTCACAAAAAACCGGTGTGAAGTGGTGTTACACTTCTGCGTTTAGTCTGCTGAGTGAGGTAACTACGGCCCACTTTTTTATGTGAAAAGTTGCCAAGCGAGCAGAGGGTTCACCTGATGTTAAGTGAATACCGCCGCCTATGGACATCTGTTACACCCGAGGGTTGCAGATGCGTTGACAACATTTCGACTTTATTAAAAGGTGGCAAAGCATCTGCAACCCTACAGGGGTTGCAAACGGCCATGGGCGGTTATCATTTAACATCAGGTGAACCGCCAGCTCGCTTGCCATCACATAAAAAAAACATTGTTTCAAACGACCCGACATCTGAACTACAGATACAGAATTACCATAAACGGCGTGACTTCAACATGAATCCGTTTCGGACCCGCGTCCAATTGACCTTATCGTAATAAACAATGTACAAACATGAATTACAGTTGTAATTAGCATCTCTATCGCGTAATCTGTAGGGCGAGCGAGTAAAACCGGTGACTCATGCCTGCAGTTGTTGCGGGCGGTAACAGCTATTTTGCGTTCGGAGTCGGCCGTGAGTTTAATGACTCGGTGGCGTGGACTCTGAGCCATTGGCGTCGGAGCCGCGGGTCGTGATTTCGATTCCCACCGGAGGCAAGTATTTGTGTGGTATAATTGTTGATATGAATGTTTGTTCCCAAGGAAGGATGAGGTTGGGTAGGCGTTGTAAAAACCGCAGCCAATATCATTAACAACACGATTCACTTGTTTTGCCGACCCTCATAGGTGAGATAAGTGCAGGCGAGAATAATAAGAAGAAGCGGAGACATTGGCGAGTTTATATGCCAGAGTATTACTACGTATTAACGAAATGAAAATTCAATCTGAGAATTATCGTCAATGTAGCAGCAGCGATATTATTCAGATATCCATTTAAAATGCAAATGCCTAGTATGTCCAAAGTTTAAGGAAAGGTTTGAATTTTGGATGATTTATAATTCCATTCCATAAAGTATACTAGATTTGGAAATTAAGTTATTTAATAATTTTGTATTTGGACTTCACACTACAATTGAAACAAGTATAAAGTTATAACTATTACTGATTTGAATATTAATGAAATATTGATGATTCCCAGACAAAATTTACTTAATTTCAAAACTCGAAACCATCTGATAAACGTTTTTGTGAATCAGATCGATATTAGGGTAGTTTTAAATGCGTTGAACGAAGGGTAGCGGACCCCAACAGATAGTGAACCCGATGCATAGATTACCCCAACCCCGTATATCACAACTTTAAAATTATTACCGATTTATTAAGCATATTCAATTTTAAACCTTGATTCCAAATAAGAAATATATTTAACAGATTACTATTATCATGTTGTTGTCCAAATCTAAAATCGTAGCAACAATTGTGATATTGAAAATAGTTATCATTGTCTTGTAATGGATTATTGTAGCCAAATCTAATCAAACAAGTCTAACATATAAAATTTTTATTGTTAATTTAGTTAAATTAAGTGTGAATAGAATTAAATAACACAACTAAGAAACGGTTACGGTACTTTACCGGTTAATATATAATATAATAGTTCCATAATCGTATTCAAAACATTCAAACAAAACATTACTTCTAAAGTAACAGGCGTAACAAAAATGTATTAGTCTAAAAAAACTAATTATTTAAAAGGACATGTGAACAGTATTCGTTCAGCATTCATTCCTAAACTTTAATTTGGACAGGTTCAACCATCCGGCTAAACGAAAGATCTCATTCGGCTGCAGACGAACTATTATGAGTTCCACTCATGCGGGAGTTAATCGGGTTACATGTGGGTGGTAGCTACGGTAAGTTTCATTCAACATTCGTCTAACGGGTGCAATTTAAACTCAAAACAAAAAATAAAACAACGAAAGAAATAAAATTTACAAAAAAAAATTCAAGTAAGGGAATGCGCCAAAACAAAAACAAGAGGTCACCTTGAAAAACTGATACAAAATAATTTTTACTCCTTCTCGTCGCACCGGGGTGGGAAACGGGAAAACTCGCGTTTTGCGTTACTAAGCGGGCACGGGGCGAGTTTTTACGTGCGACCGGCAGCCACTGATACTGCACACGCGCGTCCTTCGGCCGTAAGGTCACTGGCGAGCGGAGGGTCCGGGCGAAAGTGCCACGGGATACGAATGTCCGTGAAGGCTCCGCGACGCGACTCGGCACGTCCGCTCAGCACGACGGTGGACGTCTCACTGACTGGCTCCCGTCGGGGCACGGCCGCCCTTTATTTTCGGTGCACGGAGGGCGAACGCTATCCGGCCTCTTTGTTGTACCGAAGAGGGGTAAATTATTACGGTTTTGCGATAACATAATAGAGCGTTGCACTAAATAATCGAACGGACAGCGATTTTTGCTAACCGGCGCGATATCGATTAACGACGGGACGGAATCTATTACGCCTACATCGCTATTAGTTAGAGCTCGCGACAAATCGGATAGACAACTTATTCTTCATTCGTGCCATATGGTGATATGAAAACAACATTTGTCGCTTTTGAAAGTAATAAAATCACGTCATAAAGATATAATTCAAAATGTGTTCGAACCGACATGTTTTTGTTTTTTAAAATAATTCACGGAGCACGCTTCCCCGTGAGGCCGGACATTATCAACATAAGTTTTATGATCACTTTTAGCTTAAGTGTTTTTTTAATGACGTAATAAAACCAGTGTGCCATGGAGGGAGTGGAATACCGAAGCCTCCGTGTTGTGGAAAAAAGAAAGTTTTAAACCGCTCTAGCCAAATGAGACGTATAGATTAAATTAGGAAGTAAAATCCACTCACTCTGATCCGTGACCTTAACGCTTTAAGTTTTCTGTTATTCGAAATGTCGGAAATTTAAAATCACATCAAAATGCGATTAAATACGTAAAATAGTTTCAGTTGACTATTTTTATTTAATGCGAACTTTACTGAAATTTTAGTTGTGTGTTCGACGATCTATCTATTAACTTAGCTTTGAAGGTCCTTTGCTGTAAAGCATTCACAGTTGAACCTAGAGACCTTATAAGTGTTTTTAAGATAACTTATTACTACAATTTGTATTATACAATTACGATGCTTCATTGCTTAGCTAAGCAATGAATGTTCGGCCCTTACTTACAGTTCGGCTTTGATCGTTAGAAAATTAAAAAACACAACAGGCCAGCTGTTACTTTCTACGTGTCTACCCCAAAATCTGTAAAAGGAGGGTATATGTGCAGTGTAGGCGGTAATCCCGACCTGTCACTACAAACGGAGCAACCCTCACAAAACAACAACGGCGGGAAGTAGCTGTTCGAACTGATGTATGTGAGTGTATTACAATTTTAGATAAATAGCACAAACTGTGGGCAGATAAAGGCACCCAAAAGGGCAGGTCCGTCTGGATAAGTACCACGACCTCACACCAGAAAAGCGTAAAGTAGAAGTGTACCACTTCTACGTTTCGTGTGGTGAGTAAGGTAGCTGGGGCCCACTTTATTAAAAGGTGGCAACGCATTTGCAACCCTAGGGGTGTTGCAAATGTCTATAGGCGGCGGTTATCACTTAACATCAGATGAACCGTCAGCTCGTTTGCCACTTTTTCACATAAAAAAACGACAGGCTTTAATATAAACAATAAACCCAGCGCGCAAACACCTCTACGCAAATACTACATGGCATAAGGTACCAGACTAGATTAAGAGATATAAGCTTGGCAAAATTTCGACAACGTTAGATGCTTCCGCCATACCCGTCAAATAAATACGATTGCGCTTGTGAAACGGTGCATCACTGAATACTTGTAAAGCGTTTTCTCGCCCAGTAAACGTTATCAGGCACGACACGAGACGCGCGATACATTCAATCGGACGATGTTTCGTAATTATTACACGGGCATGAATGGACGACTAGGCAACCGGTCCACGACAGCTGCGCGCGAAAGGCGCACCGAAATAGAGCACGCGAGGCGTGGGACCACCACGGCGTACACGCCGCGACGGAGGTCCGAGTTCACGGCTTATTAACAACACTGAATAGCTCCTGAGTGTACTAATGACTTCTAGTGTGCACGCGAACACTACACACTGTCTAATAATAATTATTTTTCACTGTGGCAGTGTCACAGTGAAAAGTGTCAGTGGCCACGCAACTCCTTGTGCTGTTGAACGGCCTCAAGAAGACCAGTGTGGAGTGGCAACATTGTACTTTCGCGTTTCGTCCAGTGTACACTTAACCGGTAACCGGGGTGCACTTTTATGGCGGCGATATTCACTTATCATCGGGTGTACCGCCTTCTCGCTCGAAAACTTTCTTTCGCATAAGATGAAATTATGGATTGCGTTTACTTTTCACTTTCTGCCTCGCGACCGTAGACTGTGTAAAATGTTCAGAACTTTGGGGGCTAAAATCGAATATGATAATTAGTTTAATTTCACGATAACACTGTTTAAAGCAATAATGAGAAGTTCGCCGAGATTCGCGATACAACAAATGAACTGTAATGCGAATATTTGAAGATTAGGGATTTGGAATGACGAATCGTTCGGATCTTGGTGGAGTACTAGGATTTCACAAGTTTTGTTGGAGCGTATTATCGTACGTGTGGAACTTCAGCCTAGTGAATAACGAATAGAACTGCTCTAGTTGCTCTCTACTAGTCTAAAGGAAGTGAAATGAGTATTGTATATAATGAGTATTTAAGAAAGACGATTCTTTCCCTGATTTGAATGAGTGAAGAATGAAGTGTCGGTTGAGACACCATTGACGGAGATCAATATTTTCTTCAAAACGAAGTAACTAACATCATTAACGACCAAGTAACGTATGCCACAACAACACCAAAGTTACTTGCGATCACGCAGTAATTTAACGATATCTTAAAAATCAATTTATAGTCTTAGTAATTTAAAGTATGTCATATAATTATATTCGTAGTAATGACAATTCTACTGAATCAACTGATTACAATAACGACAGGTGATGAACTTATCGCGAATCTTATTTTAATGAAGCCGAGGCATGATTCCATATGAAGCATACAAGTCTGTAACATGAAGGCAGACATCAACCAATGAGATTAAAGTGACTTATAAAATGAAATTTTTCGTCTATTTCAAAGAACTTTTTCATATGAAATAGACGACTAAGATGTCAAAAGTGTATAATGTAAGTTTAAACATGATCATTAATTACCATCGCCTTAACAGATATGCGTTCACATAAGTTATGTGCAATATCTGATGTGTTTGTTTTAATTAAATGTGAAAAATTGTTGATTCATTGTCAAAAATTTTCGGCACTAGAGGATTCGAACCTTTGGCTTCGTCGTAATGCATCCAGATACCCTAGCCAGCTGCACTAAGCGATAACAAACGTAGGTTAAAGTTTTTAAATGTACTGTGACATGGTATGTCCATTTTAATACAGAGCTGAAATAACAAAGGGAAACTCCTCCTAAGAAAACCTATTACGTACGTAACAATCTGTCTACTGATTCTGAAACTCATTCATCCTATTCAACACTCCTAGTAAACTTTATTGATTAGCCGAAGACGGCCAAGCAGACGCAATTAATACCCGGCGGGAAACCTTCGTCGCCCACCGTACGCCTACGTTAGTAAGGCGCGTAAACACGTGTACTCACAATGTGGCGAGTCGTTTATATACTTTTTTTCACGGTCCTTCCCGCTTGATAGCAAATGGGCCATAAAGACGTATTTAGTGTTAGATGCGGCGGGAATTTGCTATCGTCCCGAGTGGCGGGGAGTGAAGGGGGGATTTAATGGGCCCAGTTTTTCAGTTAGTGTAATCACTAGCGGTGTCTATAAGACGCGGACAAGAAAGAAAATGTTACACGTGGGATGCGGACGTTAAAGTATGTATAATTTTTTGTCGCGTATCTTCGTGTGTGGCGGGAAGCTATTACGATATTCAAAAGTTTGGAAGCACTGGAAATTATTAAATCACAGCGGATGGTACACATATTCGGAACCAGCGGGATACATACAGAATTGTACTGAATAGTAGTAGTAGTAGTAGATAATCCTAAATTGAGAAAATATAGTAAAAGCTGAGTCGTTATGTGTGTGCAGATACCTACAACAATATATATAACAAGATACATAAGGAACTTAAAATGTTAAATACTAGGCTATTTAAAATAAAATTTTACAAACTTAATTTTACAAAAATATTAATGACATTCTTCTTAAAGTATTACAAATTTTAAATTGTTTTTATTTTTTTATATTTGCATGTTTCGTATTATCGCGGCAAGACATGCTGTGCTAACCTACTTTTTTAATATCTCTATACCTTGTTTTATGCAAATAAACTTTTTTATTATTATTAAAAGATGTCGACGCAAGTGTAGCCCAATGGCTAGTGTCTTGCACCTTGTTCCCAGATCCCAGTTCGAAGCTAATGAAGGTTATGGTTTTGGGAACCGAGTTTTTTATTACGCTGCCATTGATGCGATAGATGCTGGTGGCTCAAAATAACACGTGGCAGTCTGTGCGGGAGGTCTATGTTCAACAGTGGACTCTAAACGGCTGAAATTACGATGATAATGCTGCTCGGTGTCATTTCTCGAACATGAATCGGAATTAAACGGACAATGATTAGTTATTCCTAAAAATGCAATAGAATAAAAGTAGATGACTAGATTTTCGCGCTCATTGGCTGCTTAGCTTAGTTAGAAAAGAGTCTGGGCGCAACAGGTTCGAAAGATTTTTTCACATATATATATCATTTATAATTTAATAATCAATCATCTTAAATAAACAAACTTCATTTTTAATGCTCAATAACGAACTCCATGTAAAACTTCACGGTTCATGTTGACGATTACAAATGGGTTACATGTTTCATAACAGGCAACTGTACCATAAAATCTTTTCATTTATTTATTTCTATATATTTAATTTCAGACAGTTGATGGTAAATTCATACACTAGACACTTTTCGGAATAATAAGGAAAGTGTTGAAAAAAATTGAAATTCGCGACGCGCGTAACCTTGGCTCAGAGCCGGGGGCGCTCCACCTCCCCACCCGGTCTAGACACCGCACCGACTGCAGTCTTATTGTATCAAAGTAAGTTTAATTTCGCATCGCTAATTTTATGTCACTTAAACAACTTAAAACAATCCCTCGCAAGTTTCGACGCTCAGTGGAAGTACCACACTTTAATGCAAGCTTTCCCCTATAACGATAATTGTCCAAAGCGAACTTGTCCATAGTGAATATCTGAGAAATACGTACATTTGATATGGTTAACTCACGACGAAATTCCTGTTTACGGATTCAGTTCGACTGGTTGCAACTTTAGTTTGTTATCGTTTTTATTAAAATTTTCTTTTTGAATGCGAACTGAACATTGCCAATTTGTATGTTCAACCAAATTACGCGTTTATTAATTGTTGTTATTACTTCTGTTCTTTTTTAAGTTGGAATATTGAAGTACCTGTAGACGGACTTACCGCATACTAAAAGAAACTGTATATCGTCCGTGGTAACAATGTATGTGTTACCGACTTGTCTCGTTCTTAAGGTATCCAACACCATTGCGACCGCTCATATTTCTACTAAAATACTTTTAGTAGAAATTAAATATGAAGACCTGATGAGCCGGTACACCTAATGTTGAGTGATGGCAGTCGCATTGCCACCTTTTAATAAAGTGGGCCCCGACTACGTCACTCACCAGACGAAACGTGGAGGTGAGAGATGATATGGAAAATATGGCTGATTACTTCAATATATGCCCTTCGAAGGACAACAATACGATATTTTGAACTCAAGATCTATCAGTTACAGGCCAAATTACATCTTTTATCGCCACATTCACTAACCATAAGATTAGAGCGCAATACAATTTTAAATAGTTAATTATTTTAAAGTTAACTAATTTTCTCGAGTTACATTTCTTCGAATTCTAGTTCTTCCAAGGGTAGGCGCCACAACTTTACAATGTTGCTTCCACAAGTTGCTATGGGAGCAAAGCAAATTAGCTATAGTAGAGAATAGGCATAACAATGATCCGTCGCGAGCTAAGAACCTACTTAACAAGGCGGCCCTTCGCATCGTCAAGACGCATGGAGCACGTAGTGACGACACGGATCACCGCTCCCAGCCTCATCAGTGTTTTCTTGACTCCCGTCTCCCATTACGCAGGTGGCGCAACGGATGCACAAAGGACAAAAAGGTTTGCGCAACGTGAGACAAAAAGGAAATGTTGCTGGCACGAGATACACCAATCTAGATGTCGTTCAGACGAAGTGTATGTCTATATAATAGCATTCTACAAGCCTTGAGCTTAGTTTTGGTGCATCAGTCTCCCACAATATGAAAATTAATTTGTACATCCACCTTTTGAAATGCTATTGTGATACATACTGTGGTGAGAAAATAAAGAATTATTATTATTATTAATTATTATAGAGGTAAAATGTATTTGATAGCAAGTAGTGGGCAATTTCTGAGAGAACAGTACCGTTTCCATAGTTTTCTTGAGTAACATAAACTGTGTTTTGATTTGAACAAATTTGTGAAAAAGTTAAGGTTCAAGTTAGATGTTGGCCAAAAACGTGTGTCTTTAAGCGAAAAAGTATTACTGAAATCGAGCACAGCTATCTAAGCTTAGTGTTTAATCAGGTATCGTTAGTGAATTCAACATATGATAATTTCTTGTATTTACACGATTATAAATGAAACTAATTTTACGGATTTATCGCGTTTATTTTTAATTTTAATTCCCGACGTTTCGAACCCTTTACAGCGTTCATGGTCACGGCACAGACTGAGGCGTTAGACGTCTGATTGTCATAGTTAACCCGGGCTACCGTCAGTTTTGGAATTATCAATGTTGTGTCCGATCTATGCAGCGCTAAACATAATCATGTACAAAAAAGCCCTCTAAAATTTATTTCAAACGTATTTAGTCGCCGTAAGTACATTTTTATTAATAAAAAACAAAACTGACTTCAAATATTTCATTCACTATTCATTTCCTATTTGATTTTGAAAAGTTCCCTGGGGTATCTCCGGACTCTAAGGTCTAATAGGAATTTAAATGGAAGCACATGTGAGCTAAACCAAACCCAATGCAAAGTATAATTGTTAAAAGCGGTTCATAAATGATGGAGTTCTGAGGAAACAAAGGTAAATGTACTTGAGATCCTCCTCCTTTATTGAAGTCGGTCGAAACACCTCGCATTTCTTCATACTTACAGTTGTTTGTACGGCAACTCAAGAGTTAGGACCATTAGTGTGAAACCAATCTTCGGACTACTAAAATGAATGGTACGCTTCGAAAGAAAAACCTTAAGAATTAGGATAAGCACAAGCGATCTTAAGAATATCAGAAATTGCTCTTGGAAAAGAACTAGAAGAGTTTACGGTGACAATTGTTTAAACAAAATTCAGACCTATGGTATTTTTAGAATACAACGTTAGTGCAGAAATCAAGCTGCGCAAGATATTCTGACTCATTTTGACTCAAGATTTGCAGTCGTGTGTTCAAATCATTGTGGTGTGAACTTTCAGAGTTTCAGAATACTCACGGGCGAACGTCACTGTATTGATGTGAGATTAAGGATAAGGAGTGTGGTCGATTTTTGAAATAGCTAAAAGACATGTTATAACCTTTATTAACATACAATAATCATTCTTCGTAATGTCTTCTTTCACCATTAAATCCATACTCAAGTAAAATGTAGAGTACAAGACGCGGGCTCGGATACTGAGCTACCACGGCGATGATTAAAACTGACATGTAAAAGATTGATTAGGATTTGCTAATGCGCAAAATCTATACAGTCTGTACCTCGTGTTTGCCGTAGAAAAGTAACTTCGAACACTCAATCTTAGCTAAGCGTCGTCGTAAACGCTGCCTTCGCAGCATCCGTCAGGCATCAGCGAGATAAAACGGGCCGCGATTACCGGCCTCATTACCGGCGGCAGTAAACCCGCCGATCCATCAAGCGGGCGCTTGACTTACTGCCGACGGATGCTGCGATCCCGGCGAGATGGACCGGCGAAAATTGGGACGTATTAGGCGGCCGCGTTGCGGGAATTGGACGAAACAGGGCGGAGGGTAAAAGGTTGCTTTCTCGTACGACCTATATAATTGGGCAGCGGATCAGCATAATTGGGACGGTTCAACGCGGTCACGGTTTGGTGGTCGAATGCGCTGACAGGCAAACGGTTTGATTCCCAGTTTAAACCACGATGACATTACAGCAGCCCTAGATTATTACGTTTTCAGAGTTGTTTTCATCATATTATACTTGTGTTACCATTATCCTTTGACATGCACTTCCACAGAAAAAGTTAGACAATGTTTTATTCAATTTTAAGGGAACGGTTCGAATACAAATGTCTGCACGCGTGTTGTATGGCAGTAAAATATGTCCAAATGTGAATATTTGGTGTTGTATGTATGCGAGATACGATTTAGCACAGAGTTTACTGTCCTGTTCCTGATCTACGGTATCGAAACTACTGGAGAGTAGGGAATGAAGAAACATCATGTCTATCAATTCATGTCTTTGCTTGAGTTATGATAGTTTATAATATATAATATCAACAGCCTTCTTCGTAGCTATCCGAAATACGGAAGTTTTTTTAATCAAGATGTTTAATAAATTTCTTTTGGATGTTGCCAATTAAATTAATGTAGGTGTCATATTGCGGGGACCAAATACTACTTAAATATTCAAAACCACTCCGTACGAATCTGTAGTACAAAACCTTCAAGCAGCAGTTGATTTAAAGGGTTGACCTGTTCCTATAATGAATGCTAACATTTTGTAAGATTTGTTTATAATTTTTCATTCTTACTTTTTTTCTCATAATAAAAACATTGTAAGCAATGTAATTAATATGATCAGACATTATAAATTTTGAATCTAGTACAGCCCCCAAGTCTAGAACTGATTGTGATTTAGGTTTCCTTGAAAAAGGGTTATTTTACATGTTAAAAGTGGGCGTTATTCAAATATGTAGGCCAGAATCGTTTAGAAAATTTAGATTATAATAATATTCATTTACATTTAAATTTAGCATTTTATTAAAGAACTGAATAGTGCCTAGCTACTTCATACTATCTGATGAATAGTTGGGATGAAACCGATACATCCCGAGACGGGGTAAACAATCTTGAGCATTGAAACCGCACGAAATTAATTAACGCTCGGCAAAATACCGCGGCATTATCTTACGCGTTACCGTCTTCCAGCTTCCTCTATGATTAGAATCCCGTTCAGAGCGAACGGTGCGTGTTGCAAAGTGGGCTCAATTTACACTGTCACTCGAAGCGACGTCGCGTCGCGTCACCGGCGTGACGAGAAGCGTCACCATCGGTTCTCGATGCGAAAAAAGTGAATTTTGTTCGAGTTCACAAATCAAAATTGCCTACAAGCGTAACAGCAAACAGCTTAGACCGCATTAAGATATTTTTCTCAATTCATTGTAACAACAAGGGTCGTATTTCGACAAAAGTAATATTATACATACGAAAGAGAAACGGTAACATTACAGGGAAATCTGAGGCGGAACATGGTTTATATTATGACGTTTCATTCGTTTGTTCACAGATAATAATCAACAATCTACCTCACAATAACTTAATAGTTTAATACGTTAAATGCACATATTTAAGAAAATTAATAACGATTTTAATATTTATCTAAAATATAGTAAATCTAACAAGAAAAACATAATAAAGAACACTCGTAAGTAGAATTAACTACTGATGATATATTTAATCACATTTAAAAAAAATTAAATTTTTAGTGCCAAAATAAAATTTAATCGAAGAATGCGACTTACCTTTGATACGTGGTAAGTCAGTACTTCAAGGGTTTCACATATCCGTCATAGCTTGATGTGTTCCCAAGAATTAAATTCATTAAATTTGACACGTTATATAAATAAGTAATATTAAAATTTATGTATCTAGGACGTGAAAGTCGATACTTAATGATATGTGAGATAAACTATTAAAACGCCATTTAATATTAATATAACAGATTATTAAGAATAACGATAAAGGTATACCACATTTATCGTTCGTGACAACTAATATGAAATTAACTTCATAAAATATACGGAGCATTAAAACTAAATTACAGTTTGACATTTTGGTTCTTTGCCTCAAATGTTTGAGGGCGGCAAAAAGAAACGAATGTAAGTAACACTGGCGATTTTAAACTTACATCTTCGAATTTATAACATACATGATTTATAGTCTATAATTTATGAAATTACAATGAAACTCATAAATATGCATTTAAAGTGATTGCCTGTAGATCTTAATATAACATTATTACTTAGTTTGATTTGTATTCTAATTTTATCACTTCATCTATTTCTAACTTTCTAACAATTGTCAGTTTATTTTAAACAAAAAAACTACCTACAACACCTGGCGGACGGCCGATACGTTGCCCTGTCACCTTATATTTTCTTTTTTTTTTTTTAATGTGAAAAGTTGCCAAACGAGCAGACGGTTCACCTGATGGTAAGTGAATACCGCCGCCCATGGACATCTGCTACACCCGAGGGTTACAGATGCGTTGACAACCTTTTAAAAATTGGCATATGACAGGGTTATGTGGGGTTCTTACCCACTAAAACCCCCTCGGCGGCCACCTTCTGTACGTTTGGAGGGACTCCGGGATCTCCTATGGAAAGCGCCGGTGTCCCTCGGTACTGCGCGTGAGCATGTCTCGGAGAAGGATAGACTTTCCCCGATTTCTTTCGCCCTCTTGCCGCAGCACGAGACCACTTCGTGCTGCTGCCAATCCGTGTCCCCTTAGCCCTATTCTATAAATCTGACTACAGGGCTGGTGGCTCTACTTCTTATAAATAAATAAACACCTAGACACTAGAAAAACACTATGTTCATAACACAATACTTTTCCAATAGTGGGGATCGAACCCATGCCCTCTGGCGCAAGGGACAGGTCCGCTATCCATTACGCCAATGAGGTCGTCGAGTGATACAATGCAAGATATAAATTGATACCTACCGCAATTGCATTACTTTAATCATTCGGGCAATAGATTTCGCTCAAGTCACGCAAGCTTTAGGGGTCCAAAAGTACTCTAGTGTAGTTAGTACACGACCGACAATTCCATTATCAGGTTGGGCGAGGACTGTCCGCGTACTTTCGAGTGATCGCATTACTTCATTGTTTGCGCGTGACCTACGTTTGTAGGGCCACGTGATTTTGGAGAATAAAACGGGAGAAGGAATTAAAAGAGAGAGAAAACAAAGACATCTACTACGACTAATTCGAAACAATTTTATAATAGTGGCATTATTATCTGACGACCCGAATGGCGTAGTCGGTAGTGTACCTGCCTTCTGCGCCAGAGGGTGTGGGTTCGATCCCCACTACTGGAAAAATATTGTGTGATGAGCATAGTGTTTTTCTAGTGTCTGGGTGTTTATATATGTATAATGTGTATTTATTGACAACAAAAAAAAAACAGTATATTTAAGTATGTCTAACAGTTTTCTAGTACCCATAGTACAAGCGTTGCTTAGTTTGGGACTAGAGAACGTTGTGTAAAAAAGAATGTGTCCTAAAATATTTATTATTATTATTATGAGGTACCTAACGTTGTCTTATGCATAAACACTTGCACGTGCGCTTATTTACACTGTGGCACACCATTTTTGCTTGGTGTCATAACTATGTTTGTTGTGTGGTCAAAAGCTCATAATTTTTTTAAATTCAATAAAAATTGGTGAATACAATAAAAAGCGATTGATGCTACGTGAAGTTGTGGCAGTTTGTTTTGTGATTTCATTGATCTACGTTACACGAAATAATGCTAGTAAAATTCTGACTCATCGCTGAAGTATAAGAAAAGATATTTTCGACACGAATGATTTAAGTGGGCTCGCTAAACTCGCATCGAACCCAAAACATATCGCTCAATGACTGTTGAGAAAGAGAGAAATAAATATTTATATGGTACATAACCAAAAAAAGTATAAAACAAGAAAAAAAATTTGCAATCAATGCACCAAAAAAATCACCACCAAGATTGCTGGTTTTCAGTGAAACTATCACCTTAATCATCATTATCGGTGTAGCATAGTATTCATTATATGCATACAACATAATTAATTAGCCATAATGGAGTTGTGTTTCTGTGTCTTCTTCTATGTGTCTAATCTTGGATGGGCTTACTATCGAGAGTATCATTGACATGGGGTATTTTCAAAACACCACACGTCCCAAAAAAACAACATTACATATAAACTATTATTGGGAATCAAAATTGGTCTACTGGCAACTGCGATGAGATCGACAGCATCACAGAAACCAGTAGTCTTTTAGAGCGCTATCAAAACAGAGGCTCGTTTCGCTTTTTAATATTCATGGGGCAATAAGTGGCGTTTTATGGGTAAGCAGCGAAAGGTGTTTCGGGATCGAACCCGGTGTTTTATATGGGGTTCCAACGCCCACTCATCGGGGAGCTGTCGCGGAATTGCCTTTTCATTGCCCTCTCCTATTTCCCTTCTAATGTTGCCAGCATTAAACCTGGCACTTTTTTATCGCGCCGCAGTTATTGGATTTCCAAACTTTCGGCGCTGTAACGCCGTTAAAAGTTTATCGCCAAAACCCAAAGCTTAGGTGGCGTATAGAGCACTGTATGTAGGTTCGACTCAACAATTGAATAATTTCAGTTTTGCCGACGGTTATGAGTAGCAACGCTTGTCTACGAAATACTGTATGTTCTTGTATAGTAAGAAAACATTCAGATATTCTTTCTAAAGCTGGACGCGTACGCTTTTTTTAAATAATACTGGAATAATTAAGTATATATGACTCGGAAATTAAAGCTGCCTACATAAGTAAAATAAATTGATAATTCCTTAATTATCATACCAGAGCCATGCCATTCCTCGTCGTATAAATATTCTCAAAGGTGGATTTCTGCCGATAAACCACATGTCGTACTTGTTCAAAAATAATGACATTCCCTACCAATGAGGAGAAACAATCAAATAGATGAAACTAATGTTTTTTTTTT